CGAAGTTAAGCTTATCGCACATAAAAAATAGGCTTGTTTAATTTAATATTCTGTTTTTTAAGTAAAAAGCATCCTTAAACCTATAGCTATCTTATGTGGTCTCATTCAGCCGGCTGAACGCTTTTTTTGATCTAGGGATGGTTGTGCACTCCGCTGACGGCGTAGCGGGATTGCCCATTTGGCAAGATGTGCGTAATGACGCGGGAGCGACATTGCTTGCGCCACTTGCTGCACTTCCAGTAGACCTTGTCCTTGTAGGATGCGTTGCGAAGGTAACGATGCTCGCCGCAGTGCAGGACTCCGTTTCCTGCCGCCGTGCGGACGTAATGGACGTCCTCCATGGATTTGGCCAAACGCACTCTCTTCATCATCGGGTGTTGATCGGATTTGGCGTGTGGGACGGTTATCACATCAAAGGTCACTAGAAATCAAAAAAAAATATTCAGAATTAATTAAATTCAGCAATTCAATTGTCAAAAATATACAGATAATTGAGCTAAATCTTAAATTAAAATTGTGCAAATTACACACGACAAAAAGTTTATTTTAAATTTACACATAAGTTTACTCCTAAATCGCAAGTTATGGCTAGATTTTGAGTCTATTCATTGCAGGTTGTGAAGGTCCTCGATGCTTAGGTTGAGCGTTCTTAATTCGAGTGTGAGATCTTCGTCGGCCTCTGCCTTAATAAAGCCTGCTCCCAGTGCCTTTTCCGCCTTGTTTCGCGCTTTTCCCATGGAACTAGTCACCGAGAGCCGCTTCTTTCGCTCTGTGTTGAGACAGGTATGATGGCACGACTCCAGGACAATCTTGTGCACACCTTCGACGACATTGGTCACGACTCGAGCGTTGCATTTCGTGCTGCCCTGGAATGGAGACCAAAAGGGATAACTGATTTCCTTAAGGTATGCCTTTAATAATGTTATTTATTTATAATAGACTAACACCAAAGTCTATTATAAAATAATAATTAAATAAATAATATAAATAAGATCATTCCTTTTTATTTATCCTATTTTTAATTTGTTAGCCATATTTTTCCAAAAAGTAATTGTTTGAAATTTAAACTCACTTTTTTCGAGCATATCCAGTAAGTCTTCAGGTTACTTCGACGGTTTCTGACGTAGTTGTGGCCGTTAAACGCCAGCAATTTGCATCCGCGCTGCCCACGAATAAATGTGAGGAGGCTATGCTTGATGGCGCCCTTCATGTCATCGAGATCAGCGAATTCTGTAAGAGAGCAAAATATTATTTATTAGAGTTCAATGGAAGATGTATAAATGTGAAAACTGAGAGCTCATGAACACCAGAAAATGCAGTTTCGATTTTTAAGCTTTATATTCTATAATAAATAATAAGTAGGCAATAAATTGAATCTATACAATGGACAGCCAGAGTTGGCTGGTTTCTATGGCTGTTTAGTAGGGCGGATGGTTATGTTGCCCACATTTGATGGTCACATCGTGGTCTTGCACGGTGACTACCCGGGCTTTGCATTTGTGAGCTCCCGCTCGGGCGCAGGACCAATATGTTTTCGATCCTGTGGCCTTGTTTCTGGTGAATGTGAATTCTCCTATCTTCAGTTTGCGACTCCCTCGAAAGCCGGTAATATACGAGTAGTACGCAATAGAATCTGTGAATGAAAAGGACAAAAAATGAATTAGTTCAAACTAAACGAGGTTAGCTCAAATATTTAACACTAGTAAGCAAAGAGACGCAGGGGAAACCATAAACTTAGCTAACTTGCATTTTATTGAGACAGACGAAAGTCGATGTGATGTTATATTGTACAATAGGGCTTAAGACTAAAGCGCTAAGTCGCTGTTGCCGGCGTTGATGTGGCGGAGGTCTCCAAAGGGTCCTGCCGCCGCTCCGCACGAGCCGCCTCAGCTTCTGCCCTTTGACGCTTCAGGGAGCCGTACTTTCGCGCCTTCGAGATGACCTCGTGGTTGTGTTCGCTGTTCAGGATAGTCAGGGTGTCCAGTTTGGTTTTGAGCCGTGCCCGACATCGCAACACGGCGAACTAAAAGGAAGACGTATTAAATTCTAATACTGGTTTAGTTTTGGTTTTGTGGGACCGTCCACCAAATTGTATATTAATAATAATTATATTTATTTTTAAAATTCCCCAAAAATGTACATTCATGAAAGTATAATTTAAAAAAATCTTTTGGTGCTGATTCCAAATATGTACACGAATCGTTACACCAAGTCGTACAGAAATGGACCTCAAAGTTGGAAAAAATATTGTTTAGTCAAATTAAAATGTCCCAAAAACCTCTTGAACTCTAAGTCAATCGATTTAAATCAGAGATTAGAGTAAACCGCTCTACATTTGAAACACGTTTCTCTCTTTAAGATGAGATCTTATGAATAGACAGTTGTATGAAATAAAAAAGTTAAAGTAGGTTAGGTGAACGGTCCCTGTGCAATCCACTCACCTGACTGCAGCGCCAGTAGGTGACGTCGTCCCGGCAGATGTGTCGATTGAAAGTGTGCTGCTTAAGCATTATCTGCTTGGTACCGTACTTGCTGACGATAAAGAAGGGAGAGTTGCTGTTGACCACTCCGGCAGCGGAGGCGCTGGCCAACTGCATCGTGCCCTCGCCTACATCTACGCTGATCTGATAGTCGAATTTGGCTTCTAAAATGGAAGATAAAAGTAAGGGTTCGGGGTTAGTCGAGCGTGCTGACTGGATTATGATGAAAGGAATTCGGAAGAATAAATAAAACACTGGAGATTGCTTTTATGGTTTTCGGTATATTGTACATTGCGGTTTCGGACTATGACTACATACACATCCTACATCCTACTGGCACTGCTGGCAGTGCTTGGCGTGGTCGTGATGTCTGGTGAGCCGTGGCCGCCGGCTGAGCTCCACAAGGACGTAGTAAGCCGGGCAGTTTCTGGTCAAGCAATGAAAGTAGGTGCGGTACTGCATGGCGCGCATTTTCTTGTAAGATTTCCCGCTGACCATCAGGAATTCGCCGTGGGGGGTGCGCTTCAACCGAACGCCCTCCTTCTGGTCTTTTGCTAAAGAGATGAAGGATTGATTTCTGGTGAAATGAGCGGTGACACATGAAAGATGACCTTAATCCAACTATTACATGCAGCTAAATAGTCTACAAAAATCGGTGTTTAGATTCGGTTAATTTCTATCTTTAATATTGGGGATAAAAGGCATCCTTAGGCATCAGTTTTGCGGGCACATTGCCGCCCAAAAACCGAGGAGGATGGTTGTGGGCGTTCTTTCCGAGCTTGATGCCTCCATCAAACTTGGTGATGGCTCTCGCGGAGCACTTGTTCTCGTTCAGCCGCTTGCCATTTCCGTCGGAACAGATCCAGTTCACGGTGGCCCGGAAACTGGCCTCCTTTTTGTACATATATCCATTGAACACCAGGTTGAAGCCCTGTTTTTGGTTCCTCAGGAAAAAATAGTCGTGCTTATCGATCCATTGGCCACGCGGAACATCCCCGATGAACTGGCCTGAAATAGAACAGGCAAAGTAAACTAATTTTATTTTCCAAATCACTTGGTACCTTAACATTACCCAGATAAAAACACATGGATTTGTTGGTGTGCTGAGTAAACTATTTATTGCAGGAAATTCCAATTCCCTATACAGTGTACTATTTATAGCCGCTTATTTATATCGCTCGAGGCAGGTTTTAGTTAATTACCTCTTTGGGGTTTTTAGGTCGTTTTATATTTCACATTTCAATAATCAAGCTTACTGCCTGTGTAAGGGCAGCTTAGTTTGTTTGACAACAAATAAAACTCACCTGGTGCAGGTACAAGACTCTACTTGCTATAATTTAATAAGTTAGTATCGGTCAAAGAACATCTTCACAAACACACTTTTAATTTAAATTAAGAAAAAAAATTCCTTTTTTGCACATTTTTTTTTGGAGGGATTCCTTTCTGAGACACTCAGCAACAACAAAGATGCCAGTTCGCTGCACTTACACACAACCACACAGGCACTCACACACCCACTCGCGGCATGTTCACAGGATATTTCACAGATTACTCACTACTTACATTACTTGCTATTGTGCATCTATTTACTTTCAAGGCATTGCACATTTTGTTAATGATTGACAATCAACTTTTCAGCAAAAGTCATTTTTAAAAACAAATGAAGCGAACACGGCGAAAAAAGTAAGAGAACAACTACAACAAAGATGGCGTGCCATGTTATCGGTTATCAGTTATCGGCTATCGCTCCCTTTTTAAATCTTAACTGATTTTATTCAAAATAGTTTTTAATATGCAAAATTGTAAAGTTTATTGATTTTAATCGATCAATAAAGGATTTTTACTAAAATATTCTTAAAACGTTTCATTAAATTTCGTTTTTAATATATTTTTTATATCAGATATGTGAATTATATTTTTTAATTACATTTTGTATATAGACATATGTTAATGTCTAAAGTTCTATAATTGGAAAGATGAATTGGCGGGAAGTGCTATTTTACATAACATATAACCCACTTGCACATAAAATCACAACATAATGTGAAATATAAATGTGTATAAGAGTGATTCGCGGCGAATGTTTCTAGTACATACAGCTTAAAAATACTGACAGTTATCGATAGTTCGTCAGTTTAAGCGCACTTGAAAAAAGGCGATATAAGCTTTGTGTAAGCAATTCTCATTTAAAATTTTTTTAAACCTGAAGTCAATTGCGGACGCCATACGAGGAGGTAGTAGATTTACGTTGGGCCCAGATATTTCATAATGTTAGTGCCAAGGGACTCAAGCAATTTATCTTTTAGTAAAACAAAAAAACGCCGAAATTCCCTGCACCGGTAAACACAATCGTCACATAACTATCGATAGTGATGCACCCACAAGTATACCATATATCGATAGCTTAGTGAGAAGTTTGCCTGCTCTTAAGTACAGTGCTCTTCTTCTTTAAACCGTGTTTTTTCCACATAAAATATTTTATTTTAATAATAGTACATTTCTCCTTGCTTGTAAACCAATAAAATAAACAAGAACCAGCAAAACTCCCTCCTCAGTCGTTTTATTTTCATATTTCGATCGAAAGACCTAGTCTTACCCAGATGTTTTAACCTGTTGCGTTTGTTTCTAAAATCTACAGCCGCCACATCCGCATCTGCATCTCGAGGAATCCCACCACGTAAACGCGGCAGGCCTAAGACCAAAGTTGAGGATCTGACGCCAAAGCCGAAGCTCCTTGACAAATTGCATGCGGCGACCTTGAACGAGGAGGCCAGCGAGCCGGCGGTATACGCCTCCACCACGAAGGGTAAGTCCGAGTCCTGGCAGGAGTCCTGCTCCTCGATAACCAAGCTGATTCCTTGCTCCCTCTGCAGGCGGTGTTAAGCTGATCTTCAATGGCCACCTGTTTAAGTTCTCGTTCCGCAAGGCGGACTACTCGGTGTTCCAGTGCTGCTACCGGGAGCATGGTGACGAATGCAAGGTGCGGGTGGTGTGCGACCAGAAGAGGGTTTTCCCCTATGACGGGGAGCACGTCCACTTCATGCAGGCCAGCGACAAGAGCTGCCTGCCCTCGCAGTTCATGCCCGGCGACTCGGGAGCCATTTCTTCGCTGACGCCCAACAAGGATACCAAGGTGGAAGTGCTTATTAAGAACACCACCAAGCTGGAGGGTTCCGACGCGAAGGAGGAGGAAGATTTCGAGGAGTTTGAGATTCAGGAGATCGATGAGATTGAGCTGGACGAACCGATACCAGAGAAGCCGGCCGTAAAAGAGGAGGAGGTTGACCCCAATGATTTTCGCGAAAAGATCAAGCGACGTCTCCAAAAGGCTCTGCAGAACAAAAAGAAATGACACTTAATTCGCTAATATCCACTGAAAATGCAAATATTTCCGAATAAGGGATCAAGCGACACCTGCAGAAGGCCCTGCAGAACAAGAAGTGACACTGAATATGCCTTAAAGTTTCATATTATATATTCTATGTTCATTTGGGTAATAAATACCCAACTAAGCAGCAAATAATTAAGTTTTCATAATAAAACGATGTCAATAAATCAGACTTCTAAGTATACCATTTTACTAGCTCATAAGCTCTAACTCCTTAAAACTTGTATGCACACAAAAGTATTCAACTTACAAATAACCTACGAACTTTCGTGTTTTCCAGTTACCCAACACGTTCGAAATTGCGGTCCGCAGATGTTCCTGATTAGCCGCAAGGGCGGCACTCTGCTGACCATCAACAATTTTGTTTACCGCTCCAATCTCAAGTTTTTCGGCAAGAGCAATAATATCCTGTATTGGGAATGCGTCCAGAACAGATCGGTCAAGTGCCGCAGCCGGTTGAAGACTATTGGCGATGATCTCTATGTAACCAATGGTTTGTAAAGTGAATTCAAAAAAGTTATACCAAATAATTGTTTAAATTTCCTATCCCCAGATGTCCACAATCACATGGGTGACAATAAGCGTATTGAAGCGGCCAAGGCGGCTGGGATGTTGATCCACAAAAAGCTGAGCTCTCTCACAGCTGCCGATAAACTTCAGGGATCCTGGAAAATGGAGACCGAGGTCAATCTAGACCAGCTGCCTAAGATGTAACCGCTTCTTAGACATTCCCACCCTAATATCCGAGTTTTATTAGGGCTAAGCTAATGTATTCTACTATAGTTTTTGCTATGTATCTTTCTGATTTAGACTGAGTGTCCCGACCCTAGTTAGGACGGGTAAGTAGCCCATTCATCTGGGATCTTACAATACAAGTTTTGTGATGTGCAAAGTCCCGGGTCATATAATTTATTCTGTTCTCACTGTTAAGACGCTTTTGTCCACGGCATCGACTTAAGCCATGGCTTGTGTTACGTACAAACTATGAACTTTTAATAAAGTCAGATGAACATTTAAACGAATTGCATATTATATGATCTCACCTTAAAAATTTAGAGTATTTTTCCCTACAAGTAAAAAATGAATATATATATATGTACATAAGAGGTTTTAAAATGGTTGTTTCGAAGACCACTATTTAAGTACTTGTACTTTATTAAAAGGTAAATGTTTATTTTGTGGACTTCAATTAATCTTACTTTTGAAGACATAAAAATCATATTACAAAAAAAAATATTTTCAATATTGATAGGCTTTTTGTTTATGGTGTCCTTTTTAAAAGATATTTTTAAATGTGTATACTTTAATTAAGCATATGTGATTGTATGTTGGTCACGTTGATAGTAAGCAATTTAACTTATTTAAAGATACATCAAGATATTTGAAAAAATATGATCTTTTTAAGATGCTTCAGTTTATCTAATTAAAAAAATGTATACTTTTGTTGGTCTACTCTCAAAACTGATGATTCTTTAAAACAATTATGATTTGCTTGCTAAAATGTATGTATCTATGAAGCTTGGTGATATACTGAGCACTAAAGGTTGAATAAATCTGAGATCGCATCTAGAGGATTTAAAATCCCTTAACTTTGCTCTAATCGGTAGGAATCCAAGGCATCTTTAGACTGTCCAGCTTGGTCCTAACATTCTTATGGTTGTGCGAGGAGCAAGTGCTTCTGTATTTCACCTCGGAGCCCACCATGAAAGTTGAGGCTCGGGCCTTGCATCCCTTGTGGTGATACATGCATCGCCAGGAGCCGATCAGGTTATCCTTTCCTAGAATACGATGGACTATAAAATGTTCGTTGGCTATTATTAGCTTTGGACGCCTATGTGCAGCAAGGTTGAATTCCGCTGGCCCGTCGTATTGCATAGCCTTTTTCGAGTAACGACGCCGAACTGAAAGAAATTAAAGAATCAAAAGTCAGAAAATGATATTTATTACATGCGCAGACATTTTATAGATATAATTAAAGGCTAAAAAAGTAAACAAGAATTTTCTATGATCATTTATTGTTTTTTCTGTAAAATACTTAAACCTATCAGGACTTACACAACGTTGCACTTAGCCTAGATTCAGGTGGGTCGATTTGCAGTATGCAGTCTTTGGACTATTATAAGCTAGACCTCGTTAGCTTCCAATTTCGGCATAAAGGTTCAAATTCATCATTTGTTCGAATTGGTGAAGGTCTTAAATATTTTGTATATATCCAATGGAAAGTTAATTAAAAATTCTATGCTCGAGTAAAATTTGTCTTTTGCTGACTAAATTGTTTTAAGAAAGTATATATGTATTTTAGAGGAAAGGTTACTAATGTTGAATGACTTACAATTGTCCGAAGACTACATCAACGATTCTCCTTTGCATAGGAGAAATCGTTCACCATAGTATAGGTAATCTACATCGACATTAGTTCAAAAAAATAGTTCAAAACCACAGACAATTGTTACCCCAGTACCCTAGGCGCTAGTAATCCTTGCTGATAAAGACTGCCCCATGGGCCTGGTGCTGTTGCATCAGCGCCATCATTTGCGGCGTCTGTACGTGGGGCAGGGAGAGGGGCATGGCCAGTGACATGGATACGGGAACAGGTACAGTCACCGGCATCGCCAGGTGAGTGGCAGCGGTGGCGTACGTCGGCGTAGGCATCTGTGTCACCTGAGTCATCATTTCCACCGTGGGTGTCGTCGAGGAGACCATTGGACTTGGGTTGGGTAATGGGTTTTTAGCCACAGGCACAGTGCCATTGGTCTTGGCCTGGCAGTAAAGCTGGCACAGTGACAGTAGTTCCTTGTGGCGTCTCTTGATATGGCTGAGGAAGTTCCCCGTAGACTTGGTGGTGCCGGAGATGAGGCCGTAGCAGGTGGTGCAGGTGGCCTGGATGGCGCCGGGTGTCTTCTGATTCGGTTGGATGTTCTTGTAGAACTTACCGTCCAGTATCTTGGGCAGGGTGAAGGGTTTTCGGAACGATTCATCGTCGTTTAGGTAGGTGACGGCCAAGGCGGCCACAGCAGCATCCGCAGGCAGGCCAGGTGTGGGCGAAGGCTCCATTTTAATCTCAACTGCAAGATTACAAAAATCTCAAATTAGTACGTCTTTTAAATGGGTTTAAATCTAGACTAGGTACAAAACGAACACTAATAACTACATGTTTTATACACATTAAGTTTAATTTATTTAGATTAAGCTAGGGATGTAGTCTATTGAATAAAATAGATTAGTTGCTGGTCGTGCAGGGCCTACTGAAGTTCCGGAAACTCGTCCAGCAGGTCAGCCGTGAGATCCATAGAGTTGACCTCCGGACTGTGTGTGTGCGGAGCTCCAGCGATGCGTATGGTGACATCCTGAATTTTGGAGGTTACCAGGGTCGCCCGGCAGCTGTGCTTTACGTACCGCGAGCACCGCCAGAAGACGTTTTTCAGGCTCTGGCGGTTCACCACGTACCGGTAGCCCTCGTATACCAGCATCACCCTGCCACGTTGCGTGGTGGTGTAATGGATGCTAGCACTTGTGGTCTTGTCCTCAAAGAGCGCCTTCAGGGATTGGATGACACCTGGAAGAGGAAACGCGTTTACAGACATTAGTTGGGGTTATTTTGGGAGGTTCTGCTGAGGTTACTAGCTACTGCACAAGAGGTGGGAGGCACAATTCAGTTACAGGCATTTATTTCACTTCAAAAACGCAACAAATAAATTAAACTATTGCCCGGCGATATATGGCTTGACTACCATAACCTTCAGCGTGGACAGTTTGCTGTCTATGAATTTCTGGACTGAAGATGGGGTTAGCTGATCCCCGCGCATGGCAAACACTTGGCAAACATGGGCTGCAAAAAATAGGATATAGTACATTACGGTCGTGTGATAAGATAGAGCCTCTATAATGTACTTATGATATCCTGGAACAGCTCATTGTCGGCGGACTCCTTGCCCTGGGCAATATGGTACAGCTTCTCCTTTCCAATCACCAGATCCGTGACACGGGATGCATATATAGCAGGCTTGGGGAAATAGGCTTTGGCAAGAGCCGCCTTGGACACAAAGACGCGACTGCCCTCGAACAAGGGAACGGCATCCGCATCTCTAGGGGGATTTTTCAGACTATCTGTTGCCGTATCCTTGTCATTTTCCACAGGCTTCAGAATTTCAGTGTTCTTCTTCGGAGCTTCTGCAATGGAACATTATAGTAAAACCAATTAAGGCATTTCGATTTAGGGAGTCAACAAAAACATAAACAAAATAAAACACAGTTCATGCGGTTCTTAAATGGGACTTTATTTCGGTTTTATTATTAGGCGAACGCCTACACTTGCAGTACAACTCAGGCGGGCAGGGAGCTAGAATAGTATTTATCAAAATCAATGCACAATTTCACACAGTAAAGCACAAAATGTTTATTTCAGCACGCCCACGAGACACCAAATTAAAATTAATGCAAAGAAATGGCAGCTGCCAGGGTTGCATTGTAAGTACAGTGATGGTTAGGTCATGGTGAAATAGAAGTCCTGTCATGTCTGAAATCTAATAAACAAACATTCAGAAATAGCTCTATAATTCGAAACAAATGCTTATAAATAGCCGAACAGTTAAAAATTAGACAAAAATGTTCACCCATCAAGGAACACTATTTAAAACGTTTATTAAGCTTTAAACAACTTAAATAATACTCCATTATTTAAAAAAAAAACACATTTGTTACAGAAATACAATGGATTTCCATTAAAAAAAATTGCTGTGATTGGTTAATTGGTAATATTTCTTCAATTTGATTTGGTATGAAACCACTGGCAAGCAAATGTCCGAAATTCAACGAATCAGCGATATAGTCGTTAAGAGAATACCCCACATAATAGTAGTATTATAATACAATAAAGGGTTCAGTTAAATTATTTATAATTTTTTTTTAAATTTCTTTATCTTGAAAACTCAAAATTTTTATATGATTTTCTGTCATCTGTCTGCTAAATTACTGAAGAGGTATAAAAAAGTAATTCGTTGGGTTAAAATATTTGCCCCGGTATTTATTATCTCAATAAAATGTAATTTACATAACAATTTAAAACTAAACGAACGAGTTATGCATATGGATACAGTCTTCTAGATTTTTGCAATGCGCTTAAATTTTTTACATAGAATCTTGCTTTTGCTAGTAGATACTGTATTTATGGCAATGCAGCCCTGAGTTTCGGTACATCCGGCAACTCTGGTAAAATGTCGCCACAGTTGTGAAAAAAATGCAAGTGATTTAGGCAAATTGTTGTTAAATTATTAACTAAAAAGTGAAATTAAAGAGTTAAGTTGCCTGGTATAAGTGAATGGTGTTGAATGAAAAAGCAGTATAAAAGAAAAAGCCGCTTTCCAAATAAAAACGCTAAAGTGTCGTGTGATGAAGCCAAAAAAAAAGTAGCGACGCCTTCTCTAATTCTAGGCAAATATTGTGTACTAATGTTAAAAAAGAGAAATTGCAATGCGAAATCAATGTTTCCAAATGTTAATAAAGTAAAGAAACTATGGCGGAGCAGGAATATATTATTTGGCGGATCATCTTGGGCAGTCGGTCTGTCAGAGCTTTCTAATCAATAGCTGTCCTCCCTTTCCAACTTCTGTTTTGCAGAACTGGAGGATGCCTTCAAGGTGCAGCTTCCGCTCCTGGTGGCCAGAAAAAAAAAGGCGGGTAACTTCCGCAAACAGAACTTTGACCACCTGGAGGTGAGCTTCACCAGAAGCAACCGGGGCAATAACCTGCTGACCATCGACGGCAAACCCTTCACCCTTAATCGTCGAATCAAGGACGTCTGCTACTGGGAATGCGTCAAGCTGCGCTGCAAGTACATCAAGTGCTCCGCCCGCGTGGTGACAAAGTCCAACCGGATCTCGGCCCTGCGCGGGCTCCACAATCATCCCTAAGATACGAATTACCTGTGCCATCTTATTAGTCGAATAAAGGTGTTTCCGTTAAGCAAATAATCATTTTCCGCCTCCCTGCCGTTGTAGTTTCTGTAATGACCTCAAGAAAAGAAAGGACTTCTGACTAATATCTTTCAATCCTTGCAGCCAGCTACCAACTGGTGGCTAACCGCCGCGGCGGTAAGAACCTGATCTTCCAAGGACACATGTACTCCGTGGAGCGCAAGTACCGGAACAGCATCAACTGGGTCTGCTCTAAGAACAGCAACAATGCCCTACGCTGTCCGGCGAGATGTGTGACTAATCCTGAAAGTAGCAAAGGCATAAAGCTAAGCCACCGGCACCACAACCATCCAGCGGATTCCTTCAAGCTGCACAAGCGCAGTCGAAAACGTTCCAGCAAACGGATCAACAGCTAGTCATTTTTCCAATTTTGGATTACCAGCAAAACAAATCTGGAATTACCAACTGTTAGTCTTAGTTAAATAGTTTTAAAGTATTTGCTTCGTTATAACATTATTAGTCACAATAGATTGTAAAAAATGGGTTCATTTGGTGATTGATTTCAACACATCTTTGCATTTAAGTATAAGTTTGGCTAAGCCCTGAAGCTCTACCTGGTTTTTGTTAAAAAAACAAATTTGAACAATACCCAACAATAAGAGCCAGTTTTTTGCTAAAGGGTTTTACCATTGAGACTTACACACAGTGCCATCTAATTCGGGTTATTCAGGTTACAAAACACCTTAGTTAATACTAAATAAACGCAATAACCATTCATTTAGAGGTAGTTTTAAGTAATATTCTTTCACAATTTGTAACTTACCCGCTATGCCATTTCCTTAACAGGTTCTCGGCATCGTAATGTTTACAGGCATAACGGATTTACGATTATCGATGGCTTTCGCTTTGTGATCGGCACTACTAATTTACGTCGTACATACTTGAAGTGTGCCAACTTCCGCAGCAATTGTCGGGCCCGGGCCATTGTGAATAGGGATACCAATAAAATTCGGATGAGGAACGAAGGCCATAATCACAGTCGCAAAGATGTGGTGAGCGGACGTAACTCTAAGAAGTAGCAGGTATCAAGCTGTCTTGAGGAATAAACAAACTGTTTGTTACAAAATTTTCGCCTTTTCACTACTCCTATTAAACAATAATGCCATTACATCCCAACATTTAAACTAAAGATTCTGACTATCGTCTAACTAATTTTGATAATCCTTTGCAGATAACTTGAAGTTTGCGCAGTATGTGCGTTCCAATCGAGGAACCGATCTCGTTTACCACAAAGGGAATACCTACACGCCCAACGAGAAGTTGAGAGAGGGGCAAAAGAGTCGGGACTGGAAGTGCTCCATGTATCACAAGGCAAAGTGTCGTGCCCGCCTGGTAACACGAATCACCAGTTTCGGGGATTTAATCCACGTGACTAGCAACCTGCACACGCATCCCACAATGTACACCACGCAGAAAATGGTACCTCGCGTGGACGGCCAGAAGCTCTGCCTTGAGAGGAATCCACTCTGCGTTAACACACGATCGATTAAAATAGACAGCAAGTAAAGTCTACCGACTAATTAGAATTAATAAGATTAATAGATCCAACTCCGTTAAGCTTTAGGTAAAGAAGACAGTTTAACGTCATTTATACCATGAGTAGTTTTAAAGCTAGTGGATCTGTTCGAAGAAAATATCAAAACTATCATATTTGTATGAATTAATTAGTCTCACAAATAAGTCCCTAAAATTGCAAATTAATTTTTAATATTTCATTAAAAATTAATTTTTAATAATTTTAACTAATTTTTTTTAATTTTAAACTAGACTAAAGACTAGACTCTGTCAGACCGCCATCAAAAAAATTGTAATCAAATTTAAAACTTTTACTTTCAGTAATTTGATCTTCAACCAGTCTCAGGACATTTAGTCTGTGAATAAACCCCTAACTAAGTGCAGTTTTGGCTTTTCATTATTTCCGAAACCCCTTCGTCTTAAGCCATAACTAATCCTTATACGTATGCCTAATTTTTTTTCCAGAAATCCTTTTGACATGGAAGCAATTGCCAATAGAGTCGATATATAAGGCGGACGGTAAACTGATGGACATCATCCCCAACATTAAGGTCATCCAGGGTCAACGAAAATCCGTACAGCTAATGTTTGATAAATTTGCCTATGCCAAGAACAACCAGCGCGGAAACACCATATACTGGAACTGTCGGAGCCGACGTAACGGAAAAAATCCGTGCAACGCTCGATTATCTATTACAAGGCTCCCGAACGGACTGTACAAGGTTTGTCTGTCCCAGCCGGAGCACAATCACTTGCCTTCCCAGCGCCTATGTAGAAAGTATGATAGACTTTAAGCTTAGCAAAATATAAACGCGCCATGACTTGGCAAACAGCATAAAAACCGACTCTGAATCTGTAGTTGTATCAAATAACTTAACAGTTGACAAAATACTAATCACAATGTGTACCCTCTCCGTCCACAGAAAGCAGCGTGGCCATCTACTCGGCCACATCCCGGGGAAGAATGCAACTGATATACGGCGGTCAGCCGTTCATCTTTGAGAAGACCCTTAAACTATCTTCTGGGGAAGAGAAGCGCTTTTGGCGTTGCAACCAATGGTGGAACCAGAAGTGCCGCTCCAGAGTTTACACCATCAACGATGTCGTCTGTCCGCTCAACCGATTCCACACGCACGAGGAGATTGTGCGGCGCAAGAAGCGCGTGCGTAGAGTACCACCAGTGGAGACAATTGCCAAAGTGGTCACCACTTCCGCCAGGCAACAACAGCCGCAGCAGACCCAGCAACAACAAGAGATTCAGCTGACCAGCGATGCTATGCTGACTACCGCATTGGAGGACGAATCTCCTGCCACGATCGATGTCAGCGAGCTAGGAATGCACCTGAAGTACGAGGAGATTGTAGCAGATGTCACGGGCATTGTGGGAGCCACCCGTGTGGTCAGCCGCCGAAAGTGAAGTCGCAGTTCTTACGCTATTTTTTTCTTGACGAAACATCTCTGAGGCAGATTTTACTCCATAGAAAATTTGAAAGAATATCATTTTTGCACTGGCCAAGTCAGTACAAGCTAGATATTTTTGTTGAATTTAAAAAAAGGCTACCTTTAATTCTTAGCCAATATAAAATATTTTTAATTATTATTTTAAAAGTATTTTTAATTTATTTTATTAAGCATTTGGAAACATTTTCCAAGGTTTTCTTATTTTATTTTATCAAACTTGATGATTGCCTCAAAATTTCACAACCGAAGTTTATGAAAATCTATGATTAAATTCAGCTCCTTTTATATTTCCTTTAAAAACTGACTCATCTTAGTCCCTTATTATGCGTAAATATTAATAAAAACTGTGTTTTAGGAAACGGAAAAGCTAAGTTAGCTATTATGATTCAACTTATAAACACTTAAATGTATGTAAATTAAATAAACGTAAGCCTTCAACAGTGCAATTATTCGTTGTAGAATCTACGAAACTTCTCCAGTTCCCGATTAAGTATACTCCCAACCTGAATCACATTTTACTAATCTACCGGGTCACACACTTCTTGTCTTTACAGGTGACACTCCTCAGTTCTACTTCACCAAGGGCCAACGGGAGTCAATTAAGCTTAACTACGGCGGGCATAGCTACGTTAAGTTTATGGAGAACGGCCGCGGGACGAAGTGGATATGTGCCACCCGCTCCACCACCAAGTGCCGTGCCCGAATCCGCACTACCAAAAACAACTGCCTGGAGGTGCTTCATGCTCCCCATAATCACGATTTGGTGCCGCAGAAGAAGGAGCGAGGACGCCTTCGCCATAGAATGAAGTCCGGAAAGTAATTGAGAGTGTAACAGACTACAGACACAGCTTCAAACTAGGGGTTATCTTTTAATTAGTCATCTAATCTTTTTAATTTAATGGACTGTCTTTTTACATTATAAGCAAACTACCATTAAAAGACTTTTTCTTTCTGTATAACCCTTTTTAATACTGAAAAAATGTATAACAATATTGGTTTCGTAGTTCGTTTCTTTAGCATTTTCCATACCATTTATTTCTTCTTAACAATTAATGCTGAAAATGTGTCTTCCTATTTAATTTCATTTTATAATCAATGTAATGAAGCGTTAAGATTGATTACCATTTTTTTAGACTAAGAAAATGGCACTAACGTGAAAGTATTGTTTATTTATTAAACTGAGCACTCTTAATGTTCAGGTCCTATAAATGCAAAGAAATAGTTTATAAGATATGTTTCGGAATCCGAAATCAATCAAGAAATTACCGTTATAAATAAACTTCCTGAATAACCTTGTATATTAGTTATATATTTGTATATAAGTCACGTTGTTAAAAACGCAATACAAAAAATAAGTGAACAAAAAAAAACATGGTGCAAACCATAGAAATAAATAATAATGATTATTTTGTTCAGGCCTATTTTTCAAAACACATCATCGATATATGTTCATGAATTTTATGTCAACTTTTTGGCCAAAGCTATTCGCGTTGATAAACATTTCTGCACTTTAAGATTTCCCACATAAGAAAACTGTAAGAAAAAAGTTTTCAAAAAAAATCTAGATTCATGAATTGTTATTTGTTTTATTTACATAAGTTCGTGTGCGAATTGTGAACAAAATATAAAATCAAATACAATTTTGGAGATTACGACAAAAGACGAATTTATAGTCATTACCTTTTAGTAGATGGTCTTTGAAATTATAAAAATCTGTCGATTAAATGTATTTATATTAAATTGGATATACATATTTGTCTTATTTCAGTGAGGAATGCAGTTCCTCGAAGCATGGCTCGCACATCCAGTTACTGCCAGGACATGTGTCACACAGTGTTGTGATCCTGATCAGACCCGACCTGTTATTTTTGAGGCAATTTACGCACTTTCCTTTTAACCTAGGCACTCCTACAGATACGAAGTTGTGCTGATCGGACGATGTGCGAATGATGTTGTTAGGGTTTTTTAAGTTTAGTTTACGAGCGGGCTTCACTTTGTTCATTTCTTCTGCAACCGTGCGGACTACGGGTAGAAGTTTTACAGTTCGCTTCTGTGCCACTTTTTGAATAGGTATTATTAGTCGTACCGGTCTAGCACCTGAAAAAAGGGAGGAGATTACAAATATAAGTTAGTTAATAAAATGTTTAACAAAATAAAGGCAACTAATTTTAAAGACAAGCCAATATTTAGAAGACAGTGAAAATAAAAGAGTTATTTTTTATTGGCTTTGTTTAACTTAATTTAACCGTTTATTAAATGTAATGATGTTGCGGTGTCCTTAAGTTTAAATTAATTCAGTTATATTTTTTTGCTGAAATAAAGCAGAGTACTTTAGTAGATTTTAATAACTTGCAGAATACATTGATTTGGCTTACACTTTTAGTTATCTATTTATCAAGGCGGGATTGCCAATCGAGCACTCTAGGAACAAATGTCTTAAGCCGTTCGGGTGGTTGGTGATTGTGGAATCCTCGAATTGATTTAATTGATTTTATGTAGGTGGTCAGCGCCGAGCTGCAGTGCATCTTTTTGTACATGGTGCAACGCCAGAAAGCCAAAAATTTCTCGGGATTCCGAGTGTGACAGCTAAAGGTAAAACCCTCGTGGACAAGTTTTCCTCGATCGTTGTAGGTGAGCACTGAAAATTAAAATGTAGTTAGTTAACGGACATAAGAATTACACCTACTTTTTAAACCTTGTGATGCAAAAAGATCAGAACGGACCATGTTGGATTAGAAGACTTCAGATCTTTATTTCACTTGATCACATATCCAAGACTCCCTCCATGGTGCCAAATTATAGCAAAAAATGTACTCCATAGGTAACTAGGTAATTGTTTGTAAAAGTAAAACTAAGGGCTTACAGCTATATTCACAATCTTATTAAACTACAAATTAAACTCTTCTCATTTGATTTCAAACTAATTCAAATACTTTTTTACAATTCAAATGGGGAAATTAACCGAAAATAAATAGTTATCTTCCTAGATATGTACTTCCGATCGCTGCTACTTAGTAACTACATTGCACTGCCGAGACCAGGTGGACTGCTTTGCCCAATGGACCAGCTATTCGTGCATGAGCATCATGGAGGCGTGCATTAGTTCGTGATCCGTCAGCTGCAACGTGGCCGCATCGCTGTCTAACTGGTGTTCATCAATGAACTCCTGTTTCTGCTCTTGGAGCTGCTGCTGAGTGAAGCTGTGCGTCCTAGAGAGCTTTTTTCCGGTGCTTACAGCTGCCATCTTATTCCGCTGCACGATCTTGTCGATCTTTTCCGTATGCGGCTGATGGTTGTGAAGTCCGCCCGTTACACTCTTCAGCCGTCCGTTCTCCAAGACGCAACGAGATCGGCAGCGCATTTCGTGGACCTTTTTGGAGTAATTGTGGCAGCGCCAGTACTGTTTGTTACTCTTCCGGCTGTGGCAGTTGTACATATAGCCATTCAGCACCAGACACGGCGTCGACCAGGGGCTCTCTATGAAGACCAGCTCGTTGCCATCTGCAAATAAAAAATTATTGATAAGTCAGTAATCTGTTTTTGGGATATAAAGCCCGATAATAATAATAGTATAGACTTTTCTATGTGCGCTATTCTTTGTTTTGGTCTCAGTTTATTCGAGGATTAAATATGAAATACGTTTACAGACATAATTTAAACTACGTTCGAGTTGGTGGGCCGATTTGTTTGGCTGAAAATCATTGAATCATTTAGGGTACTATAAAGCTATTATCATGTTTGGTTGACTCAATTATTAGAAGTCCTTTAAATGTTCGGATTAGTCGTAATATTATAGCTGATTGTTTTAATTTTGACTGTAGTCCTCCTGTTTAAGAAATATCCTGTGAAAATAACCTATATGAAGTACATTGTATTCGTAGCACAATAAACAAATAAAGAAACATTATCCGAGTGGATCTAGGCATGTCTCTCCGCCTAGATATCTGGGATTTACCACGCAGATTCATCGCGAATCCTCATTTGTTGTTATGGTGGATACAAGATCAGGATCTCAACTGTAAGAAACATGCACGTTGCATAACATTTTCTGTTGCAGGTAAATAAGGTATATATTATAGTACGGAAAACTCGACTACAGCGGTCTTGCTTGTGTTAGAAACATACATATTTACATAAAATACGGATAACTTAAATGGTTGATTTTGGTAAATTGGAAAAAATAGCTTCACTTTGGTAGGTAATTACCGACATAATACGATCAAATAAACTATAGCATGATAAAAGGGTATAGCTTTCTAGAGATCTTTAAAAAAAGAGCCCGCAATTGATTACATTTAGATTTGTTGGTAGTTCTCCAAACAAATAAGCCCACTCCAAATTTCGAGCTTAATACGAGCTTATGGTGCTAGATGAAATCTCCTAGAGGTGCTTCGTCTTCAGCAGGGAACGGCGCTTGGCCTCCTCCGCCTGCCACCTGGCCTCCCGTTCCCGGTCCCGCTGCTGGGCCCGCTGCCCCTCCGCCTCGGCCTGCAGCTCTTCCTCCTCCTCGGCGGCGTCGACTAGGGCCTGCATCTCAATTTCCGTGGCCTCGGCGGCGGGTAGAAACAGTTTGCAGTCCTTGCCGTCCTTGGCGGTCACGATAATATTACTGCTGCCCAGATACTGCGATATCTTGGGGTTTGACGTGCAGATCTCGATATACTCCTCCAGTTCCTGCTCCACCTTGTAGAGCTGCCGCTGGCCGATCCTAGAGGCGTGGGACTCGTGGTTGTGCTGACGACGGGCGTCTATGAACTGGCCATCGCGGGTGATCACCACCGCCTTGCAGCGGAGCTTAAGTACATCCGCACAGCGCCAGGTCGTCTGTCCATTGGCCTGGGTCAGCTTCTTGTTGTAGATATAGTCCCGGAACACCAGTTGGGCGTTCTTCTTTTGGCTCCGGATAAACCTAATATCCGAATCTGCAAGTGGCCCGAAGATAACCGAAAACAAAGGGGCGACAAGAAGGCAGGGAAGTTGGTTTAGTGGGCATGGTAATTCCAATGTCTAATTCCTAATTTAGTTAATATGGCTTAAGCGCTAAGCTAGGATCGGCGAAATAAAACAACATTTAGTTCAGACTTTGGCTTAAACAGTTTATTGGCACACAGCGAACCGGAGGACCCATGAAGATGGTGGCATTATACTTACAGGACCCGAAAAGATTGCATTTTACAACAGCATTATATTTCGATGTTACTCCGCTTTGGTTTCAAATACGAATTATCACCAACACCTAGTTCTGCAAACGCGGAATTTTCATAGTTACCCACTCATCACATAAGTTTATAAATTTACACCACACATCACTATAGCACATAATTTAACAGCCAAACACTTGTATTTCACTAATTCACAAACTAACAAAACAAATGTAGCTTCGTTTCTGAATAATTTTCAACAGGGATGCCACGCTTTTGAATTACAGGGCAGCATTTTCAAATAGGGATGCCAGAAAGTGGCAACGCCGCTCAATTTATTTAAATGACAATCCAGATACCTTAAAATTATCTTTACGGGCATTTCCTTTATTTTTTAAATAGACATACAAAGCGAAATTTATATTAACATTTAAGAATCGCACAATATAAAAAGCAGACAGTTTCCATTAATATACGGTACTTCATATACACATACTCGCTTCACTCAAAAATGTATTGTTTAAAATCGACGCACAGATTCGATAGATAACAGAACGAACTTTAATTAATTCTTTGAAACTATGCTCAAGTACGTAACAAATATGAAATCCACTTCCTAAGTAAAGCCGCACCTTAAAATATTTTTAGAGATTCGTTAATACAAACACCAATTTACAAAGCGAGTTCCAACATTAAAATTTACAGCAGTAAATAGTCTTAAGAATTGCAATTAGATAAGATTTCTCAGTTTAAAATGTATCTGAACCCCATTACGGTATACAAGGCTTAACTGTCTAATCAACTTCTTAAAAAAAAAAAAAACGAAAGTAAACTTATTTTCTGGATAGCAGAAAAATGTTTTCGGAAACAATTGCACATTTAGTTTAAAGACTCGGCAATACATGCCGTTGTTAGAACTATATCAGCAAGCTTTTACGTTGCTTCAACAAGTCTAAACAACATCTTGATATACGGAATTAGAAACAATAAAACTAAATCCCAATAAATTTAAGTATTATTACCCAACTGATAAGCGCATGCCCAAATAATAACGATCTGGCAACATTTGATTTGTATATCTCTTTGCACGCTTTTCCAACAAAATGTTGGGGACTTATTTAAAATTAAATACCTGCAAAACTAGAAAAATATATGGAGAAAACGTTCAAAGACTACTCATTAATATTACCTTTGATAATTGCAGATCTTCTTAGTGTTCCAGCGCGCAGCACAAACATCAGTTTCGTCTTGTCAGCGTAAATATTTAAACACTCTACTTACCCTTTAACCAAGTTTATAAAAAATCGCGTGATACTGCGCCTTAGCATGTAGGTAATATGCTACAGGCGACCGATCTGCCAGATGCTTCTTAGAGATTTGAAATAAAGCACAGGCTTTCTTATTTTACTTATCTTATAAAGGTTAAGTATTGCTTAAATTTGTTTTTAAAACATATTTAAACGCGCTTTACCATATTTTAAAAGGGCCTGATCCGCTTGCGAAGTAGAAAGGCTAATTAATGATAAAATTATGTATCAGTTTAAATATGTTTACATTTCGCAAACGGAATCAAAGTCCTTTTCTAAATTCTACCTATGACTAGTGGCAATTGGCCATCTTTACTAGGAAATTCAACCAACCTTGAGCCTCTGTGTTGCCCTGATCCGCGCTGGTGTCGACAAACGAAGAATCACTGTAGTTCTGCGACTGCTGCTTAACCACCGCCTTGGACGTGGTGGCGGTCACTCCGCCGCCGCTCGTGTTTGCCGTTGTTTGGTTGCCAGCATCCTCGTTTTCAGTAAAGTAACTGTCGTCGTAGCGCATGTCCCCGTAAGCATCGTCCTCCACATAGGTCCCCTCGCCATCTCCGGCAGCATCGCCATGGTCCTCAGAGTAGTCAGGTTCCGATTTTGTCGGCAATTCCATGGGGAGATCAATGTACTCGGCTTCCTCCTGCTGCTGCTGCTGGCGGACCTGCTGCGGCTGCTGGTGGAGCTTGGTTTCCGCGGAGGAGACCACAGCTGTTTGTACGGTGATCTGTTGCGGAACTAGTTGGGCGGTCGTCGTGGTTCCAGTTTCCGTGGCCGAATCGAGGGGGTCCATTACATTGGCAGAGGCGCTGGTCTTGGAGCGCTTTACGCCGCCGCTGGAGGAGGAGGCGGAGGTCAGAGAGGATCGCTGGGCGGAGCGTTTGTTTGTCGACACCAGCGTCGCCGTCGTAGTGGTTCCCGTCTGCAGCTGCTGCTGCGTCTGGATCTGCTGCGCAGCCTGCTGCTGCTGCGGCTGTTGTACAATGGTGGCTTGGGGTGCGGCCGTGGTCTGGATGACGATCTGGGTGGTGCCCTTGTTGTCGTCGCCCAGTCCGTCGTCCACGGTCTCGATCTTGTAGCGGGCGGAGGCGCGCGGCTGCTGGCGTTGCACCCGCTGGGCCGGTAATTGTTGCTGTTGTACATGAGGCGCTGCTGGCGGCGGGCTGGGCTCTTGCGGTGGCTGCGGCGCAGGATCGTTCTGAAAATATAACATTACAAAAACGCAATTAACAAGGTTATTCAAAAAATTGTCCTATTCTAATTCCCTCTCCTAAAAAGAAACTTTAAAATATACATTCAATTCTTCCTGATAAAGGCTATATATTACGTAGAAATTCAATAAATTGGGGCGGCAAATAAATCGTAAGACCCGGATAAGAATAGATTTTCTGAAAAGAATGCAACGTTTAACAAGAATACTCGAAAAAACAATTTTTTTTTTATTATCTGATGATATTTTTGCTTTAAATAATTTAAGAAAATAAAAATATTCTGGGGGTTATTGATTTCCTGGTTAACAAAATGTAAATAAAAACTGTGACATATATTTGAAGAATAGCTCTATGCTAAATAAAAATATAAAAAATTGAGAGAAGTATTTACATCAAAACAATAAATACTTTAAAGAATTGTTTCTAATAATTCAACAAAACTATATGTGAAACAAGTTAAAGAATTATAGCTGTTAAATTTATTTTTGTACAAAAACAAAATCACAATTCCGCTTAGAGGAAGGCAAATCGCGAATTATTTTTTTCAACTGCAACTGTTTAGTGCTTTTTTCGCTGCGAAACAAAAACAACCCAGTTGCTTGTTGCCATATTAGCCAGAAAGAGACAAATGCTGCAGCACACACATACAGAGTACTGTTGTCCCTTTCTGGCACGCGTGCCTTTTGGCATTTGGTTTGCGAGAAATTTCTCGGTACAGTCAAACCATGCTCTTATACAGACGCTCGTATGTGTATTTCTTGGGCGCGAAAAACGATGCGCTTGTGTTGTTTTTGTTATGCCTCCAATTCGATATACCAGTATAAGCTCCAATGTATATACTTACATCCGTTAGCCCCTTGATTTGCAGAGATTCTGCGGTGCTAATAAACGCGGGCAAGGCGTCCTGCTTCACATTGACCTCGCCGCAGTACATAAATTGGATGAGGTCCTTCAGCGCCGAGTGGCTTACATTGTTCAGGAATACTGAAGTGTGGGGGGAGGAAGAAAATTAGTCGAAAAATCCCCAATAAAATTCTGGGTCCGAAACTCACCGATTGCGTGGGTGTTCGACGGCATCTGGGTGAACATCTTGCGGAAGAACGGCGAGCAGACGGATAACACCAATCGGTGGGCCTTTACAATATGACCCTCGGCCGCCAAGGATACGTCCACCAGATCGCCGCGACATAGCGACTCGTGGAAGCCAGCCGACAAATTCGTGTTAAAGTTGTTCCAGCACAAGCTGAATTGCTCGTCGTCCGCCATCTTGGACGAAAATCAATACTTTTCTGTATCTATGCGTTTGGGGCTGCATGCGAAAAAGTGCATTGCACGATTATTAGTTATTGTTTTAAACTAACCATTGAAGTAAAACATTGTTTACAACCACCAGCCACTGCCAAAAAAAAAGCAGCACCAGCACACAAAAAATGCAACGCAGCCAAAAAACTGGGAAATTTTCACGCGGTGTGTATGTATGCGTGTGAAATGAACGGCATTTATTTTACTGATTAATCGCACAACCACATAGTGATACAAATATTAATTAACTTACTCACCTCTTGTTAAATATTTTCCAAATAAAATATCTATTTGGAGCCGAAGCTAAATTATTTTTTATTCTCGCGCGAACAACGCGCAGAACGCGTCCGATTTCTTTAGTGTGAAAATTAGGGATGGCCAAACAACGATGGACCGTTTGATAATTTTTTTGATAATTTTCTAGATCATCGATTGTTAGCTGCATCTATCGATAGTTGCTGCCAATGTGAACGTATATGTACATCCAGCGTCTTTTTAATGGCTCAAAGCCTAGTACTCGGATCGAAACAATTTTAGCAGAAAAAACATATTTGCCGGAAAGGTTCCTTAAAAGATATTCTCAAATTCCTTGGCCAGACAAGTCTGCCGGTGTACAAAAAAATTTAAAAACAAAAAATTAATATTTAAGTGTTTTTTTAATATACTGATAATTATTAGCAAATTTTAAGTTTATGGCTGCACTAAGTTCTTGCAGACGATTTTTCTCAATTTTTTATTGTGTTTTTCTTCAGACACCAAAAAAGATTACATTTTTAATAATTTCGCTAGGGGCTGACTTTCACACAGAGTTCATTTCCGGTTGTTGGCAACGCGATGTAATTTTCTGGTATTTTTTCGTCGTGGTGAAAAAAGGGCCTGACGAAAAGTGTTCGTCAGCTGCTTGCCTCTCTAGAGAGCAACGAATGGATTTTGTCGATCTGAGCACTAGGCTGAAAAAATGTAATCTTTTGAAGTATCTGTAGTCAGAGCAGAATGTTTCTTAGATCAAAATGACAAAAAAATATTATTATTTAAAAAAAAAAACATATGTTATATTTAAATTGTATTGTTTTTTAAATCTGAGGCCATTATAATTTCAGTCAAAAGTTTGCAACGCAACGTGAAGGATACATTGTTGACCCTAGAGTCCCTCAGTTTTAAAGCTATCTGCTTAAAACTTTTCAAACAGTTATCTTTCTATTGCAGGTAGTGTATAAGTCGGAACGAGTCGGACCGAACGATTATATCATATAGCTCATAAAAACAATCCGAAAAAAATTTTAAAAAGTATAATTTTGTTGTTTTTAATTTTCTTTGGGATTTGGTAATATTTAAATACTATGAAATTACGGTTTTAGTTTAATAAAAATCTGACATCCGTATCATATAGCTCCCAAAAAGAAAAAAAAATAAATTGAAAAAAATTAAAATTGAAAAAATATTTTATTTGCTGTTTTTCTATTTATTAAAATATTCATCGGAGATATAGTAATTATTGGCTATATTAGAATTACGCTTTTAGTTTTATCACAATCGGAGAACAATACCATATAACTGCCATAGAAACGATGGCATACTGCAGGGCAAAATCGACAAAGCTTCATTGTTTTTAGTTAAAAGAGACATAAACAATTAAAATGTACTCGTTTTGTAATAACTGTAAGGGTATATAAATTTCAGATTGCCGAACCTGCTTCCTTTTTTGTTTAGTCTAGATTATCTTAATCACATCCATAAATTCGTCTGTTAAGTAATCGGACATTATCGTTGAAACATTAAATTCACAAGTATCTAAAAAAACAAGCAAAAGATTTAAAGCCGTTTTAATCTCAAGCGATTTTTTAATCGTCGTTATCGGAGTCATTTAGTCAAAGAAATTTAGTAACTTAACTTGTAAATGATTTTTTTATTTAAATCCTTGATGTTTCAGGTGCATCATTGCCTTCTCAAATTTGATAAAAATTACATCATTTATTTATTCATAATTATTATCTACTTGCGAATACGCCCACTCTGTTCTGAATTCCGATCGAATAGGCGCGCGTAGAGACGGACTAGTTAAGGGTTGTCATTTTTTTATGAACGTCTCTTTAGTGTTGGTTTCACATATACACATTATATTAATCAGAGATACCAAAATAAGTGTTTTGATTAGAAATTAAATTTAATATAAAATTTTACAAATTGTAACTCTTTTTGTAGCTCTTTTTTTGCACTTTTGGAACACTTATTGCGAATAGTTTACGATACTACCTCAAGACAGCTGGTACTAACGGAAATGTATGTAAGATTTAAGTCAGACAAGAAAAGGGCGGAGCCGAAGTTGATATACCCTTGCAGAATATTCTGTAAATTATATTGGTTGGCCAAAAATAAAATCAATAAAAAATCCCAACTTCCTAGCTTTAAAAAAACCAAAGTTATGGTACATTTTCAATCGTTAAGTTATATGGCAGCTATAGGATATCGTCGACCAATCCGACTTATATACTACCTGCAATAGAAAGACAACTTTTGGGAAAGTTTCAAGCAGATATATCTGCTATAGCTTTAAAACTGAGGGATTAGCTTGCGTAGAAACGGACGGACGGGCAGACGGACGGACATGGCTAGATCGACTCTCCTGGTGATGCTGATCAAGAATATATATACTTTAAAGGGTCGGAAATGTCTCCTTCACTGCGTTGCAAACTTTTGACTGAAATTATAATACCCTCTGCAAGGGTATAAAAATTGAATGGTTGATCAACTATTTTACCTTGCGAAAGCACAAAAATCCTAGTCACGATGAAATATTCCTTGATTTTATGGGATTTTTATGGGATAACAAAGACAATGCTATAATGCCAAGTATGGCAAACACTTTGATTTCTTTTACATTTCCATTTACTATGCATTATTTTGACTTTACCAAATGGTCGATGGCATCGAGGATCCCTTTGGATCCCCTTACATAATATGAGGGGCTTTGGAAAGCTTTCAGCCAACACCAACAGAACCAATAAATCCAAATAGGTATTCTATAGAATCGGTAAGATTTGCAATTTGGAGAAGGTTTGCACTGCGCAAAATACGCCGACGCAGCGCCTTGTGGATTCCTTTTAAAAGGGTTATTGGGGGCCATAAACTCAAGGAAAATGGAGGAAATTGAGTAAGTGAAGATGGAATCTTTTAGATAAGCATCGGGATAGATAGATATTAAGATTTCGAAATTACCCCACTGAAGCGATGAAACTTAAGGCGACAAATATACATTTTGTTATTAAAATAGTATAATTAGTTATTAATTTTACAGTTTATTTAAAAAAAAACTTCGAGCTATTTCATGTATTATATTATAGGTCTAAATTAATCAGGCAAACGAAAAAGTAGTTCCTCGTTACCGTATTTAGAATAATAATAAAGAATAATTTACGTTTTGCTTCTAATCAACAATAGAACCTTTACAAAGCTAACAGATACTAATCTGTAAAAATATAAGTTTTTAGGACATTGATTTCCTAAATGAAGTCAATTTTTGGATTGACGAAATATAATTAGAATTTTAGCTTGTCCGCTTAAAAAAATCCTTGGGTCAAAGCAATGTTCCCAAACTCTCTCGAAAAAGGTCTGGGTTCAAATCTCAGCGAGCGACAAATAAAAATGTAAGGTTTATTGAGAGAACTAATATATAATATTTAAAATATATGTTAAGTAAAATGTTTTGAATATGAGAACAACTTAACTTGAGTTGATTCCGTTCCATTTTTGATAGTATTCTTAGAACCAGAGCAAATTCAAGTCAAACTTATAGTAGAGTATGTTTATCTATGTTTAAGAAAATATTATCTTAATACCAAAGGTTTTAAGTTATATCTCATCTCAAAATAAGTCGATTTAATCTTAAAACACGGAGATTTGAAATTTCCTCTAAATATTAAATTTGACACGTGCCATAATAAGCTTTCAAATATATTAAATAGTAGTTTAAATTGTAGACAAATTAAGATTTAACTAAAATGATCCCCTCGAGTTGTTAGCTTAGTACATTCATCAAGTCAAGTGTGCGAAAATCTGCACTTGAGAGCCACTTGATATTCGGTTTATATATAGGGACTATAAAACTGAAGGACTTTACAATAATAAATACTGATACTCAAGCTCAAGTAGCGAAACCAAATCAGCATAAAGTGGCTACGGACAAACAACTAATATCAACAGGGAACAGGCAGAGGAATTCGTGACGTCCCAAGTGGATACCGAGGAGTTATCTATCAAATCTGATAGTAGGACACAATGTGTGTTATTGTTTAAATATGTACATATACATATATGTATCCTTACACACATACAAACAGTTCGGAAAGGATAGTCATAAAGGCAGTCGCAGTGCTGAACTTTCATACAAATCTATTCAATCCAAATTCGGTAGACCTGTATAATTCAAAGATTGGTAGTTATAATATCAAATTTAATTTTCTTTATAAAATTAAAAATTAACAGGATATAAAACTAATAAATGTAATGTAATGTGCGGTTATTTATCTTAACATTTTCACTATTTTATCATATAAATTTGTTATGTTGTTCCCAATACCAAACGTGCAATGCCTGGACTAAATTAAATTGGTGCTTAGAATTACTAAAAAGGCCACATCTCTATCTGAAAAGAGAGAGCAAAGAAGGAGAGAGAGGGAGTTTGCATGTCGACGCTGAGCTGTGATTGGCTTGAGGGCGGCCATTTTCCCCCTAACGGTATACGTGTGTGCGGCGCACCCACACATACCACGAACACATCAGCATAAGGCGATCTGGGGTGAAAGAAGTACTCGTTCAGTACCAAAATCGAGCCGACAAATTGCAGACACGGTCGAGTGCGCATCGGAACGGCACTTCTGGGATCGGGTTCGGTGTTACTATCACGCTTTACGTTACGACTCACGGGTTACGGCTCCCCACTTAATTCGCTCACGGTTGCGTGGGGTGTACTCCACCAGCTACTTGATTGCCCAGCTACCGAGATAGCCATTCAAGTGTTGCAAGTTCAAGTGCGATTTGGCAAATTGCTCTATTTATTTAAATTTAAAGTGCTTCTTAAGTGGCCAAGTGATCGCATCGCGAGGATGTTGCAGCACCATCAGCAGCAGGCTCAATCGGGTGGCTATTACGACTACAATCAGTCCCCCAGTCCGGGCAGCTTGACAAATGCAGATGCTCTGAACACCACTCCATTTTCTGTCAAGGATATACTGAACATGGTCAATCAAACGGAGGCCTACGAAGGCGCCTACGGACACCTCGATAGGTAAGCCTTAAAGATTGGGATCTGGTTTAGCGTATGTTACTTATGTTGTTTTGGAAAAAAGGGAACAATTTAATGTTAGGATAAATGATTGATTGTGCTGCATTTTTTGCTCCAAATTAGTTAAATGTTTACTTCTTTTAGGTTTCTCCCTTAGTTAATTATTTCAAAACTAATTAGTATAGCAGTTGTTTCCGTACTCATGATGTTCCAATGCTATTTTATTTTGGAAATTTGTTGAAAATTAACAGTTGGGAAAAATGTATATATATGAACCTGTAAATTAGGAAAGATTACAGTAATGTTATTGTAAAGATATAAAATAAAATGTATTTTTATTTAAAACTCTTTAAAAAAATCCAAAAAAATCATGTTTAAGAAATTTAAAACCACCAAAGGACTTAACTGAGAAATAAAAGCAAAGGGATAACTGTTGGCCAACTGTTATTTAACTGCTATTTGCTTATTACCAGGCATCTTCTTGAATACCTTTTCCACTTATACCTGTCAGTAAGATTTTCACGAAGGCAGCGCACTTCCCCTTCCCAATCGCATATTATTTATTTTTATTTAATAGGGCTCCATAGGAAAATTAATTTCTACCAATTTTCCAACGAAAGATAATATTTTGATAACCTTCCGTCGAGACGTAGCAGAAGAAATCCTATGAAAACACATAGGAAGCATGAATTGCAAATAGGATCTGGGTCCAGAGAACCTTGAGCTCAAGGCTTTGACAAATCATCGTTATTTGTACAAGAGGCCGAAGACAAAGATGAGAAGACAGTGTTAACAATAAGAACAACAAGGTCCGAGGCAGGCGGTCCGTAGCTAGAGGTTGCGATCGGGTGATCCGGCGATCGCTCGATCACTTCTGGGCTGGTCAACATGTGTGATTCGCATGTGTGTCCGCCGCACTGGGGCGTCCTTAATTTCCTGATGAGGCATGAAATGATGTCACCAAAGATCCTGTCGCGCCAGCAGGAAGTGGGCAAAAAGTATTCGGCCTGGGGAGCCGCTGTGTCCGGCGTGATGCAACATATGGCGGCCATATACGAGTGGCCCCGTGTTTAACCTTTCGCTTTTCCCAATTCCCTGCCTTCCCACAGTGCGGCGACTGCCTCGGCGCTCTATGGCGCCGGTGAGTACCAGCAGCATCTTCACCAGCATCCGCATCAGTACCACAGCCACCAGCAGCATCAGCACCACCAGCAATCCGAGTTGCCGGCCTCCCAGCAGCAGTTGCAGCCTCAGCACTTGGACGATGGCACCACCACGTCGGCGTCTCTATCGCCGCTCTTGCCACCCCCGCCGCACCAGCTTTACGGCGGATACCAGGACTACGGAATGCCCGCCCACATATTCCAGCATCACCACGGACATCCTCATCCTCATCCCCATACCCATCCCCACCAGGGCTTCCAGCACTCGGCCTCGGCCTACAACATGTCCGCCTCGCAGTTTTATGCCGGACCCTCGGCAACAGCCTACCAAAGTCCAGCCACCTACAACTACAACTACGCCGGAGCCGGAGAGGTGTACGGCGGAGCCACGCCCTCGGCGGTGAGCATCAAAAGCGAGTATATACCCACGCCGTATGTGACGCCCTCGCCCACTCTGGACCTCAACAGCTCCGCGGAGGTGGACAGCCTGCAGGCGCCGGCGCAGAAACTCTGTGGGAATCCCCTGACCCAGCGCCTCATGGAGACTGCCAGCAACTCAGCATCGCTAAGGAGTATTCACAGTGCCGAGGAGGGCGCCAAGAGAAGTGAGTATTTGGCTGATTTTCATTAAACTTTGGTTTAAAGGACCGAAGTTTTTCACAAATTTATTTCAACCGAATTTGCATGAACTTTTGGTTCGAATTTATACAAAACAACCGATAACAGAAGTAATGGTAAAAGTAATTAAATCATGTCTAAAGTAAATGTTATAAAAAAAATGCAATCCATTGCCTTTAACAATGTTTATGACACTTCTTTCATCTTTGTAAAAAAAAACAGAACAATTTAAGTTTTTGAACTTATTATAGAAATCGTCCTTCAGAACGTCCTGATAAGAAAAAATCGTATAGTGCAAAATAAATTATATTTAAAAGCACGCCTCTTAGCGTTGAGAAATGTATTTCAAAAACGAAATAAAAGAAACCAAAGAAAATGTAATATCTGAAGATTTAAAATCGAAAGCATCCAAAACGAGAAAACGTTAATTAGAAGTTAAAGTGAATTATGAGCAATCCTTCCCCAAAACTAAAATAAACGGCTTACTTTTTTGTAAATTTCCCGAAAGCATTGCAATCTACTACAAAGTTTTATTTGGTAAAGTAATACCCAAATAAACAAACCAAACGATGTCTATATATCCACTCAAAGTTCTTTGCAATTGTCTTTATTTAAGAAATATCTGAAATACATAGTAAACAAATTACTAATTGTGCGCTAAATTGTCAACGTTTTTTTTCTTTTCAGAGGACAACAGCCAGGTGACCTCCTCGCGATCCGAGCTGCGTAAAAACAGCGTCAATGGCAGCAGTATCCACGGCAGCAATAATGGATCCTCCAAGCCGAGGATGAAACGAAAGCCTCGAGTTCTTTTTTCGCAGGCTCAGGTCCTGGAGCTGGAGTGCCGCTTTCGCCTGAAGAAGTATCTGACGGGTGCGGAGCGCGAGATAATCGCCCAGAAGCTGAATCTGTCTGCCACGCAGGTAAAGATATGGTTCCAGAATCGGCGCTACAAATCGAAACGTGGCGATATAGACTGCGAGGGCATCGCCAAACATCTGAACATAAAGTCCGAGCCCCTGCACTCACCCACTTCCCTGCCCCCGCCGATTCCCAATCACGTGATGTGGCCACCGACCATCCAGCAATCCCAGCAGCAGCAGCAGCAGATGCAGCACATGCAGTAGTTCGGTCACAGGACGAAGGATTCGAGTCTCTAATTTATTGCAGTTTCAAGCAGCCTATATGTTGTAGTGTAAGGAAAACGCCTCATAGCTCTAGTACCTTGTTTTATGTATATATCGGACAATAAATAAAGTTTAAGACAAACAATTGCAAGCAATGTATTTATTTTCAAAAGTTGTCTTTTAGATCTAACGAAAATCTGGCATCCATACGGGTTGTATTTCAGTGTGAAAATGAGATGATTCAATTTTTATGTTGAACAAGTAACTAGCTTTCTTATTAAAAGAGCTTTTTCATTTTCGATTATAAGGTTCATAAATGGTGGGGCTCAAGAGCTTCAATGATTATTTTTGTTTTCTAACGCTCTTTTGTGATTTTTTTAGATCAGCATTTAAAAAAAATCATTCTGTAATACAATTATTTGCTCTTTTTTATCGTTTTTGCTTGGTTCAACCTTTGTCGTAGAACTAACACCATGGAATATCAATGACTCCTTGCCTTCGCGCACTAGTATTTATATCTTTATGGACAGCTTTTGATCGGCCACCGATCCATTAGCCACCGCATCTGCGTATAATTGCCGCCGATCGCCGCATAAATCAATTTTATCGGAGCAAGCGATCAGTTTTATGAAAAACGAATTCGAAAACGAATGAAAACACAACAATTTCCGTTTTAGTGCTGGAATGGTTTTCTCTTTTTCTGCTTTTCGCAGGGATTCCACGGGGAAAGGGGAATGCGGTGGCGGCAGACATTACAAAGGTTGCATTTATGAAACGTTTAAGTGGCATCAATGCAACTGTAAAATGTTTTCTGCCGCCGCAGATACAGATACTCCCGTTGAGCCACGAAATGCAGGGCCCAACAACCGCTCCTCCCCGGCATTTATGACAGCCCGCGGGGCAAAGGCTAATATTTCATTGGGGGCTGATGGTGGTGGTGGATCGGTGGTGTTGTGGCAGTGGCATATCAATTACTCCACAAACACATGGCTGGGGTCAATGGGTGAAGGGAGGTTGCTGCCACAGACCAACAAGTGCAGCTGATCACACTTTCCTTCTGAGTTTTAACTTCTCTGACAGCCGGAGCTTCTGGGGTGAAGATTCCGATTCCGTTCCCTCGGGTTAAGTGTCAATCACTGGGATCGCAGATTAGCTCAAATCCACACACAGAAAAATATTTTCAAAAATTACATTTTTTTCAAGAAATCATTTGTGAAAAATTAAATGAATGTTGCCAATCTGCATCAGAGGCGATACCGCTGGGGAACTGGATATAAAAACTGTATAACCATGCACCCACTTTTAATACATAAAATCTCATAAGATCTTAAATGTCTGGCCTCAAGTTAAATGCGACTTAAATTGTAAAGTTTACACAATTTTATGTTGTTGTTTGTACATGCCATAGGAAGGTTTTTACGAAATAAAACTTTTTCAAGTCCCGTCGGAAGAGTTTTGGCTGCATTTTAATTTCAGTTGGAAAATGGAATGCAAGCTTTTTGTTTTTTAGTACAGGTTTATTCAGTCGATGTGCGTTTCTAAATCTATAGCATTAAACAAATTAAAATCCTTTACTAGAATATATTGTCTGAACAATCACATTCTAAAATTCAATTTATGATCATATGAAAAAAAAGGCAGGGCATTCATAGTAATCGGTTTAGTTGTATCTTAGTAATCACTGCACCATATTCAAAAAAAGGTGTGTCCAAAAAAATGGATTTTTAAGTTTTTGTTGCAAACTTAGGTAAAGGAATAATTGTACTTCATAAAAAACATGGAAAAGAAAAAAAGACACTACTGGTTTTTTGGACCAACACTAATGAGTCTATGTTAGTTAGGTTTTCCCCTAGACAGTTGAATCCATGGGGATGGGTTGCATTTAGGCTCCCAGCGTCTTCAGGGAGTTGATCGTGGAGTGGCAAACAAAACGCCCTCGCAGGCGGAGGGTAATGCATGTCAAGTGGCACTAAACATGACCTAATGGACCACACTGACCAGACACGCCCCCGTCGCGAAGGCGGAATTTGAATCTGCGACTCATAAACAATTACAGTCTCGTCTTTCAATGTCGGCGGCAATGTTGCGGCGACGTGTGCCCCTCCGTCTACGAAAGGTCCGGAGTCGAGGATCCATGCCTCGGTCTAGACCGACGCAACTCTCAAGTGGGGAATTTGTCATTCCCATATATCACACGAAGGATCGGGGAGTTGCCGATAAGCCAGGATAGAGTTCGCCTGTAGCGCCGTTTAATTCATGTTCCGTCAGAGGATCAAAGGCTTCTTGAGCCGCTGTCGCAGCTGTGCCCCGCTCCCCCTTCACCACACCCACTATTACTTTCCCCTTTCTCCCGATTTCTTCACGATTCCCAATTGCTTTCACTGCTCTCATTTGCATTTCCTCAATGCGTCAGGCCGCCAAAGTAAGCGTAAGGTAAGCAAATTAAGATTTATTAACATTAATAAATAAACAGTATGGAAATGCTACAATAGTAGCAGCACAATCAGTGGTTTTTGCCCTAAAACAGTTTCCCATTTCCGCAGTCTTTGAATTTTGCCGCCAATTCTATTACGTTATTATACCCCGTACTATTACTGAATATATGGCTAAACAAAACTAGTTATTAGGTTTGTAAAGAATAGGTGTTTTTTTACAATATAAATTAGAAAATTAAAGAGACTTCACGTATATTTGTTTTCCTTTTTTCCAATCCATTAAGTGAAATAAATATAGTTTCTTATAATCTTGTGGGACTTAATATTGAATAGTTAAGCCTATGGGTGTAACAATGCTTTATTATTATTATTATTATTATGCATAACAACATTATTTTTACTCATAGATCAAGTTAAATCCGAAGAATGTAATTACGCATACCAATTAATACAAGTTAAGAAAAAGAATACACAGTTTTAGTTATATCTACTCAAAATCCGAAATCATGAATGTTGTATGCAATAGGTTTACAGTGGACTGTTTTTTGCAACTAAACAGAGATTATTGAGTTTACCAACTCGATTTGCATTAGCTTTGGTATACCAGACTATAGTTTGTTTGAATACAAAGGTATATTTTATTATGTCTTAAATGCATATCCATAGTATTTCGTATAGTATTTCCAAAGCGAAGAAAATATCTGCGAAAGAAAAGACAAATTTCGAATTTAAGAAACATCGTCAACGACAATGTTGTCAAATAGTGCCAATGCATATTTGTACATATTCGGTTTTCCAATTTTATTCTAGGGTATCTCATGGTCGACTCTGGCACTCACGCATGCTTTCACTCCGCCTTTAATTCCCGCTGTCAGTGGTTCAGGTCCAGATCCAGATCCAATGCTGTCAAGTGGATGGCAGAGTGACTCTGGCAGTTTTTCCATTAAAGCCTTTGACATTTTATCGGAATACCAATCAAGCCGCCTTATACATTTCTATTTGATGTGATGTGCGCATAAAACTGCGATCTCGTTTTACATTTGCCCCTCTCACCCATCCAAGTTCTGGGTGTCTCTGTTTTATATCCAACGGCTTATGGTTTTGTGTGGCTTTCAAGTGGAAAATTGTGACAATTATATTCAAATTAATTGAGTAATTGCATTCGGAATCCGAGCGGCGGCATTTTGAAGCATTTGATTTATGGCGTGTGGAAACTGGCACTCAAGAAATTGAATCCGAATAAGCCAATAATCCCATGGCGTTGATATCCCATTCAAATCGATCCACTGAGAAACGCTCCAAGGCAATGAAAATCGAGTTCCTTCCGCCGGCAATCCAGCATCCTAAACTACTTAGGGCACCTGTAAACAATGTTATGTGCATATCATAGCACAATTGTAACCTTTTAGTAGAAAAACAACAAGTGTAGTTAGACTGAAAAGACTTATTATTTAGATTATTGGTAGACATGGATTGCTTGCTTATTAATTTTTTTTTAAATGTACGCATTGTCAGTTCTTTTTGTAATTACTTGTTGATTAATATGGTATATTAAGGGGTGCTACAGAAGTAGAAAAATTGACTTCCTAACAATTTATAATCTAAAGTCTGTAAAAACCTTTTATTAAAATTGGTTTATGTTTTTATTGTTTAAGCCTCTGCACTGCCGAATATGAAAGTAGCTTTTTAGTTTGTTTGCATTACACGCAGTATATAAGTCGGAACGGCCGGGATCGGAACTATATTCTATAGCCGCCATATAACTGATTCATCGAAAATGCCATAACTTTGGTTTTTGTAAAGTTAGGATTGGAATTTTCTATGTGTTTTATTTTTAATTAATCCGACCTACCAAATTTCATAAGGATCGGCCGACTGTATCCTATAGCTGCCGTATAACAGAACGATTGGAAATGCCACCATAACTTTTTAATGTTAGGAAGTTGGGATTTTTTATGAGTATTAAGAGTGCATCATATGAATCATTTTGGAGAATATAATTTACAGAATATTCTGCAAGGGTATATCAACTTCGGCTCCGCCCGAAGTTAACTTTCCTTTCGTGTTTTTTTCTAATTTTGTTTTAAAATCCCAAAAATGCTTAATTTTATAAAATTCTACAGATAAATGAAATATTACTCAGGTGTTGAGGCTGTAATTTTATGGCGTTTGAAAACTGTAAGATGTTCGTTTGTTTGTTTGTACAAATAAGTGTAAAACAATGAGTTTCTTTCGACAGTACATGCGCACATACATATATCCTTCTGCTGATCAAGCACGGCCCAATGCCACATTTAATTATTCAGAAACAGGACCTGAACATTAAACGAACTTATATTTTTTTGTCAACTATTTTTATTGGTATTAGGTATTATAGGTATTACCATATACAATGTCTAGGGTATTTATGCAAATCGCATCTTATAAAGCTTCGTTTTTGAGTATATTGTGTGAAGCAGGGTTTTATAAGGAATATATATATTTTATTAGGATCAATAGCCGAGGCGATAAGGCCATATCTGTTTGAACGTCAAGTACTCGGAAACTAAAAGAGCTACAGATTATAAAAATTTGTACATTTTTTGAAAACTATTTATTTAAAAAAAATAACGATTTTTAAGGGGTGGTCAAATAATTTAACGACTCTATTGTCATTCAAAAAAAAAGTTGGAAAAAGTCACCTTTTATGTTTTC